TATACATCTTCAGACCGTTAACGTCTTGTTCTTGTAAGGTGGAGCTTCTGATCGAGGCCGTCCGACAGAAGATCTGTGTGCGACGCGTACAACCAACATTTCGGAAGCGCCTGGAGCAGGACAACGAAGCTCCGTTGATAGTGCTGGCCACGTCCGGACCCTTGACACCGCAGTGGGTGTTCTACTTTTCCATCGCCAAGTGCGGCCAGACGTTCATGCGGTGTCAATGGGACTCATTATTGCTGGAAGTAGGTACTGTGGCTGTACTGCTAGCACCGTGGTGAAATTTCAAAAGATCTGAGACCTTCGAGACCCTTGTCGCTGCGGTCTGGACGTCGCGCTTCTTGTTCTTCAAGTTCATGCCCATATCCGGTGCCGTCAAGATCCAATCGCGATGCCCCACTTGGCTCGGTCTATCTGCACTGGATTTCCACTTTGCGTCCCAACCGCTGCCATTGCCGCTCGGTTGGCACGCATTGCAAGCCCCGGTGGATGTTGATGCAGCAGCTCGTTGACGTGATCTCCTTTGTAATCTGACTGTAACTTTTGTATGCTATAGCCGATCATGAATCGTCTTGCTGTAGCAGTCACGTTGCTGGTCGAAGGGCCCTGAACGTTTTTCTTGATCGATCCGCACCCCATACTGCGCAGAATTGGTGCCATCCAGCAGATTGCCTTGCAGATCTTCATTCTGTTTACGGGCAACTACAACTTCTTCAACTTCCTGTTCATCTGGAACTGCGCATCGTCGAAGCTTCCAGTGACGGGAAGAACGCTGCACCGCCGTCTAAAAGTGAGGTCAACATGTTCCTAGTTCTAGCCGTGCTTGAATGGCGACGATACGTTCTCCATTGCCTCAACGAGATCCGCATCACGTGCTGCGCAGTCGAAGAAGATCGGGCTCAGTTCGATGGGCCAACCCAACGACGTCGCTTACAAGGTGAATGGCGCTCGTACAGTCGGTCGGAGCTACGACAATGTCGTGCAGATGCTGCAGACGCAGACCAGACCGCTCAGCATCCAGTTCTTCTGTCCGTTTAGACATGATGGGCTCTTTGCAGTGTAGTTCCGAGGAGTACGACAATTACAACGGACAATGGCAATGTTATTGTTAAGGATCTGCCAATGGCCCATCCGGTTATGCGAAAGCTCACGGGGTGTACATTTTCGACGCCATCCACTACATGGATGGCGAGGTGAGCAATGGATTGCAGTACAACCGACCAATCAGTCTGCTCCGTTGCAGCACTCGCCCTATGGTCGTGATATTTGGACGTTCGAAGATGATGCCCCCCCCCATACCTGGAATGTCCACAATATTCATGTCCAACCGTTTCTCTTTTGCGTCTACTATGGCTCCATCGCCTCGACCCTGCAATATGGACGATTTTGAGTCGTGACGTGGCTCGGGGGGGGGGGGATGCTCGTGTTCTGAGAAGGCTTGGGCAATGACGGCGTGCTGAAACAGAAGGAGCAGACTCGGGGTCCGAGAATTCGAATCCAGGTGGAGATGCCCAAGGAAATGGTGCTCGCCATGCGGCCGGACTTGTGCAGTGCCGTGAAGTGCAAGAACAACAATGTCATTGTCGCTATTGTGCGGTCGCCTTTCATGCGCCTTTGAGACAGCCTGCTCAAGACAAGGGAGCATTTTACTGGTGGGGCCTGCGTCGCTCAAGCGCAAGAAACGCTTCCATTTGCTGCTAACCGACCATGACCGTTTGCTGTTTGTCAATAAGGACACTAACTTATTAGAGGATGAGATCATGTGTTCCCTGATCGTGACGGTGAGCTCGCGCTCCAAGTACCAAGCGCTCACGATTTCCACGCTCAAGACGGACTATGTGCTGATTGACAACTTCATTAGACCGGACATCTAGGCCCGTACTCTCCTGGCTTAAAGTGGCGAGCAGCAGGCGTTTCCTCGTG